CTTACCGTACCATTCCAAATATTGTACTGCCACGTAGACAGTAACTTTTAAAATAAAAAAAAAATCAGTTGCTTGTGCAAGGGATGGCCAATATAAGTTGAATTTTCTATATCTTATAAAGTCCTTGAAGGTTGTGTGTAATTGAAGAAAAAGTATGTTCCTTTGCATTCGCATTATTTAATATTCATTGCATTTTAGCAGATACCAAATATTTGTATGTCGATAAATAACATACCTAATCACCAAAGTATGAAAAATTAAGTGTTGCGGAATAGAGTGCTATAAATCAGGCCTCCTAGAACTTTTGCAGAACAGGAAAAATAGCTGGTTTAAGCTTGCTGTGTAAATGCAGATCATTTCCGTCGTCGTAATGGATTATTTCATTTATGACTTACTGCTTTGTCCTAAAGGTGCTCCCTGTGAAGGATGTCCTCAGCCTAGCCTCACCATGCACAGCCGCTTGCTACAACTTTAGGGGAAGGGTTAGAATTCTAAAGAGGCGGCTGGCTGAGAGCAAAGTGGTGCTTTACATATAATATTAGCCCAGACTTTCCTAACACATTACGCATTTCTTTCTGAGACAAGTCTCCTTAATGCCATCTTTATCTGCTACACGATGCATGAAATCTACTTTCTGTTTTAGAACTGCGGCTGACCCCCGACCCCGCGAGTGGCTCCACAATGTGACCTTTCTATTGTCATCAGCTTTCATTCTCTGAAAATTCTATGAATTTTTATTACAAGTTTTTTTAAACCAAGCTGAGGCTTCAACAAATTACTTGACACAGATGAGATGAAGTTGTTGAAGTAGTGTTAGATAAGTTTTACAGCCAGCATGTGTGCTGCTGAACAGTACAAAGCCAGTGTCCTACAATGTCATACACCAGTAACTGCTGAGCCTACTATTGGATAAATACATCATTTTATGGAACATTGATTGTTCTATAAACCCAATGGAGTATTATGCTCTATGATCAAACCATTTAGATTGTGTGTAGAGCACAGAAAATGCCATATTCAGGATGGTACTAAAAGTGCCATTTGTGTATTTTATGGATGTCATTACGGGGGAAACTTCTCTCTGTAGGCCCTGTTTACTGCAAAATTTTTTAGTCTGTAATGACATTTTTCATTCACAACGTATGCCTTCAAGAGAGGGGGCCCTTGTTTTATTTGTTTCATTCGAGTTTACTGCACAAATCCTGTACATTTTAATTAAATGTAAACTTAACAAAAGAATAAGGTATTTATTCTGTGGGGAACAAACGATGACAGTAACAAAAGAATAAAACAGACACACAAAAGGAAGTCAGGTATTGAGGAAAAGAGAGGGAAAAAGGTACTAAGCCCTGTTTGTAGTTTCCCAGAAGCACATTGAACATCAAAGCATTTCTTTTAGCCCTATTTCGGGAGTTTGTGGTCTCTGAGAATTAAAATAACCTGTGAATATGGATTTAATGTCTAAAAAATCCTGACATTTTCAAATAAAAAACTAACAGTCACTCAGGACTCCAACTGATAAATAATGGCTCTGCTGAAATGACAGGCTCCTTGGAAAGAAACCAATTCTGTGATCACTGCACCCCTAGATATGAAACACCTCTTTACAAATTGTCTGAATATGAGCTCTCGTATCATTATATTTTGTCATTTTAATGCCTATTTGTGTATCTTTTTAATTTGCAATGACATGCAATCAGCAACAAGTCCACTTTTCCTAATATTAATGCGGGCTTGTATTGCAGCTTGTGTTTGCCATGTCAGCCAACACTTACCCCGTCTCCTTGCCCGTTTTTAAGAGGGGGCGAGAGGCAGGCTGGATTTAGTAGGACGACGTGATTTGTTGCTACATACAGTCCAATAATGTGCCATGTTCCTTAAATACATAAAAATTCCTACAAATGTTGTGTTGGATAGCAGTGCTCCATTGTAGAAATGCACTGTTCCAAAGTCGAAATAGCAACTAAGCCTCAAAATACGTTGTTTTCTAAATATCTTCCCTACTTGGCTTTTCACTGTTAAAACAAAAGAAAACCAGTAAAATCTGCAATTCATATTTACCATGAAAAATCACTAAAATTGAAGATGATGTTCCCAGTAAATTCTTGGTCATAGTCCAGTTAAAATTTAAAGTTACAGTAGATTCACATTAGTTTAAATGACACTTGAACTTCCACACAGCTCAACATTAATTCATTATAGTTGAAATGGAAGAATCTTCAGTGGGTGAATCTTTTACAATCTGATTGAGGCTGTTACATTTTATAGGAGCCATTTTTCAAAGCAGTACTGACAGCACTCGAAGTTATTAAATTGCTGAATCAAAAGATGGACCTGCAATCGCATTTATGAACTGTGATGGAATAGCTGGGGTTGCACCGAGCTGAGGTTAAGATGTTGGTGTAGTTAAGCTTCATCACACCCCTCAGTGACAGCAGTATTTACCCATGTAGTTTACTTTAATGGTCAGGAAGTGGCTTAACTCACCTCTGGATTCAAATAGATTAAGTAAGCAGTCAGAATGGCATAATTACCAGTGCTGCGAGGGATTCACCGGATAGCTCTTCACCCAGGAGACTTCCCATTCAATTGCACAGTGAAGACTGGAGTTGCATAGATTCCCGGGTACAGCATTTATTTGAGGAAGTGAATACAGGATGAATCTCCTTCCCCAGACCGGAGCTTCTCAACGCAGCAATGCTGTGTCCCCTACATAAATTATCACGATCTTAGGGGAAAGATGTTATGATTTTGCTGTGCGCGTGTGAAAATTATGATCATAGAGTTATTTTGATTTCGTAATCCAGTGAAAAATGCATGATTTGTAGAGTTATTTTGATTTCGTGCCACATCACTGCCAGGCTCCTCTTTTATCATGTCAACAAAGCAAGATTCCTGAGAGAATTAATTACTGCTACTCTATTATAAAATGTGGAGGAGCCAAGATAATTGTCATTTTATGTTGATTTCCCCTTCCTATTTTTCCGCTCTTTGGGGGGTCTTGTGAATGTCAGTGCCTACAGAGAGCCCAAGAAAAGTGGCGATAAGAACCAGTCGTACCTCAGTAAGCTTACTCCCCGCTTATGCCTGACAAAATGTACTTCCACTGCATGTGCCAGATTTGTCATTCAGCATCCCTTGGAAACACTCTAATGGTTTAAATTTGTTAATTTGCTTTTTCAAAGATAACCCACCTTGCAAACGAAGGTGGAGAAAGTTGTGTGACGTCAGTTTAGACTTGTGAAGGTGATCTGCGGCCTTTCAGCTTCACAAAATTACTTCTTGTGCTTCACAGTACAGTTTTCCACCAGAAGCTTTGTAATAGAAGGATGGATGGATAGACAGATAGATAGATAGATAGATAGATGGATGGATGATAGATAGGTAAGTAGGTAGGTAGGTAGGTAGATAGATGGATGCATGCATGCCAGCAAGAGCTCAGTCTTTTAAGCATTGTTGTTATCTTGGAATATTAACTTGATATGCACCTCAGGATACCCAGTTGCTAGAGGCTGCAAGATGCAAAGTACTCAGTCTCAGAGTAACACAGCTCCTAAGTGTGAACCTACCTTTAAGCAAATTAGTCTCTGGTTTTGAGACCCTAGTTTAGGGTGGGATCAGGGCCTGACAGCTCTATGCTTTGGGTGAAAAAGGCCCATTAGACTAGCTATAGTATTAGACCAGCTTCTTGGCCTCTTGAGTTCAACAGAGCATGTTGTTCATAGGAGTGTCTTGGTGGCTTGGAAAGTACAGCGCTAGCCTGAAATTGGACTGTAAGAGTCAATTTTTTTTTCATGCTTGTTTGGTTCTGAACAGGCAATGGTGTATCTACCAGTGTTAGTGATAAGATGCTACATCTGTTATTCCAGAGATGTGATTTTTGTTTGTGTAGGCGAATTTAAACTGGATGTGGTGTGGGCAGTCTCAGCAGCGTGGATGTAATTGGTCTTCCCAAGTCCCATCTGGCATTAGACCCTCACCTCCTTCTCAGTGTCTGGGACACCCTCTTCCCTCTGTGTGCACTGGTTGTGGTCCAAAGTTCGCTTCCCAGCAGTTGCAGGGGTCGTTCAGGATGGCACAGCCACACGGAGACAGCGAGTGCTAGAGCCGTCCTGCCATGGACATCCACAAAGGTGGTCACAGGCTGCTCCTAGTACTGTCTTCCCAAAAATGCCGAAGGCTGTGCTTTGAGGCTGGTGGGCTTGACTCTGCGCAGCTGTGGGCATCATTTGCTTTGCCGAAGCTTCATAGTTAGTGCTGAGAACTGAGAAGGAAACCTTCAGTAACCCAAAACCAGACTGAGTGGCAGAGCAGGTGCAATGTGGAGGTTACAGGTATTTTAATTTGTTAATTGATTTCATGTAGAAATGATTAAGAGGTGTAATTGAGGTTTCTCTGGATGATATTTTATAGAATATCCCGCTTAGGGTATGAAAACTGCCGAGTGTTTCCTCCAGGTAACTAGGCTAGTGACTAAGTCAGTCAGGTGTGCTGGAGGAGATGCTAGGTGGGAAATGAGGGGGAAGACAATGGCATCAGAATGACAGCATGGCAATTACCTCACCAACAAAAGCTGGGTATTAAGAAGATCAGCCACAGTGTTTCACACCCAGATATGTTTAATGTAATATACGATCCTAAAATTCATTACGGGAGTACTGAAATATCACCGATAGGATCTTCTATAGAAGATGTGTTAATGGCTTTTAACTGTATACTGTATTTATCTGGGCTTTTTTATACAGCATATTTTTAAAAACACATTTAAATTGTTAATAGGCTGCAGAATTGTTAAACTCAGCAATTATTTCAACCTGTAAATATGTTATTTGGAAAACATGCAAATTGTTTTTGTTCGCTTGCTCATTTTATCTGTGTTTTCTGCCAATGAAATCCAAAAATTGTCAAGGATTTTTTTTTTTCATTCAAGCTACAATTTGTTAAAGTAATGAACTGATATTTGCCACGATACCATATTAACAGCGTATTTTATCTTGTAGGCATCGTCTCCAAGTCCTATGAGTGCCGACTGAAGGGGCAAGGAGCAACCTTTGTGGAAACTACGAGTCCTTTTACAGCAGCAGCACTGGGAGAGGTTTCTCCAGTTAAAGAGAAGGTCTTCCGGGGCAGCAGAAGACAGCCACAGTCACCTGAGGAAGTTCAGCAAGTTATTATTATCCAAGGATACGATGGAGACTTCGCAATTGACGCCTCCGTGGAAGAAACAGCGGCGGCTACCCTTCAGACTCTCGCAATGGCTGGTCAGATGGCCAGGGTGGTCCATATTACGGAAGACGGGCAAGTGATAGCGACGAATCAAAACAGCTCACACGTGAGTAGTGTGGTTCCAGGGCAGATACTTACCGAGCAGTTAGCAGACGGTGCAACACAGGTGGTGGTGGTTGAAGGAACGGGAACCGACGTGGAGGAGGCTGTTCGCATAGATGCAGTTCCCGACTCCAGCGGCACCGTTCTGCAGCAGATAATGCGTCAAGAAGTTTTAGATGCTTCTGAAGCTACAGTCCATCCTCCAGACTCCTCGGCGTTAGATGCCCTGCTTTGCGCTGTAACAGAGCTGGGTGAAGTGGAAAACAAATCTGGACTCCTTGACAGATGCAGGTCGAGTCACAAAGATTTCTTCCAAATGCCAAACCCAGAGATGCCCAGCGTTCCCAGTGATGCAGAGGGACAAGAGATACAGATGTTCCATGAAGTTCAAGAGACTCAGGAAAATACCGAACCTATGGAAGTAGTGACGCGGGTCATGCACCCATCGGCTATAATTGCGTCTCAAGAGAGAGCTCAGGCTGCCTTCAAGAAGATGGTCCAAGGAGTGTTACAGTTTGCTGTATGCGATACGGCTGCAGCCGACCAGCTGATGAAAGAAGGTGTCACTCAGGTCATCGTAAACGAGGAAGGGACCGTGCATATGGTAGCTAGAGAAGGCTCGCAGATCATTATGCAGGAAGCTGGTAGCCACACGCTCAGCGTCCAGAGCGAGCACATGGATTTAGTTGAGTCGGATGGGGAAATATCACAGATTATTGTCACAGAAGAAATAGCCCAAGCCATGGTGCAGGGTTCTGAGGGTGACTTCTCCGAAGGTGCAACCCACTACATCGTCACCGAATTGCCACCGGACATGCAGGACGAGCCTGCTGTGTACTCACATGCTGTGATAGAGACAGCTGGGTCTCCGGAGATTTTGCAGGCTGGTACTGCTCTAAAAGCAGAAGCTGGATCCCCTGATAGAGCGGAACAGCTAACAAGCATGGTCATTTATACAGAGGGGGGCTCTCAAGTACTTCAGGGCCAGAGAGATGATAACGCAGTACAAGAAGCATGAAGAGCTTCATCTCCTAGACTTGACGCAGGGCAAAACTGGAAATTTTCAGATCCACGGAGGCAGTGTGTTCCTGGGCTGTTTCCTGTAAAACCTTCGCAGTACGACACCCTCCCAGGCAGGTCACACCCTGCGGGAGGTGAGGTCAGCTACTGGGAGGAGTTCACTGAAAAGGGTTGTACAATCTTCCTACAGTAGCACTAAGAATTATTATATGGGATTATTATAAAACAAACATAGTAGCCTACAAAAGAGGATAAAAGCCCCCACGCACACACACACAAATTATGTATTGTTCCATTCACTGCTTTCTTTGTTGGTTTTTGTTTGTTTGTTTGTTTTTTATTTTTTCTTCTTTTTTGTTTTGTTTTTAATTTTGTTTTCTCTCTAGGGTCTTTCCCTGCTTTCTGTCATTTTTGTCCAACATAATCACAGAGGTAAAATAATTCCACTTACTTGTACATCTTGTGAACAGATAAATAAGCAAAACCATAAAACTCACCATAACAAGATGAACAGGTAAGCTTTACACACTGTCATCCATGCCCTTCTTCATTTTAAAGAAGAACACGTGACATTCTGCTTTCTAGAATCTTACTTTAAAATATCCCTGGCTAAAAATAGGTCATCCAAATAAGTATTTTTTGCCTCAAAAATCGAATTTTTTACAGTACCTTACTCTTTCGTGGTATCACGTAGGACTTTCCCTAAAGAAGAGTTCAAAAAAGCTATGCCTCAGACAATTCTTGATTATACATATTCAGAAAAAAGAACTTGATGCCTGTAACTTCCACTTAATTTTAGATGAGAGTCCTATATAAGAAATGTGCATTTTTTTGAAAATATTGTCACCGTCAGTGTTTTGCTTCCCTTATAAATAGCGCTTCATATAAATACCATTTTGTGAGAGACTTCTGAAATGTTAGGGTAGGGGTTTTAAAGAAAATTCTGACATTGACATTAACAAGTAGGGGGGGAAAAAAAAAAGGTGACCTTGTATTTCTTGCTTAGTCCAGAATGTCAGTTATTTACTTGTGGATATACTGCAATTGTTCAATGCAAGTTCATGTTGGAAAGATTTGTTTCATGATACAACTGCTTTTGTTTCTTTAAAAAAAAAATGTAAAGTATAAACTGGCAAGGTTTGGGGATTTTTTTTTTTTTTTTTGTCTTTCAAATAAAATGTTAGCATTAAAATGAAGCATCATGATTTTTAATATTAAGCAATACACAGGACTGGCATTCAGCGGGAGCAAACGAATGCTATCTGTTATGTCTCTGCATTTTCTCTGTTCCTTTCTCTGGCTCGCTAGATAGATAAAGATAAAAGAATCTAATTTCTGAAGTGTGCCTCCTGCATGCTTAATACAATTGTGTAAGTGTTTAGGGTATAAGCCTTGCTGACTCCAGAGATAACTGCGTTTCCTATCATGTTTAATATCTTAAAATTATCAACTGTAAGAAAGTTGGGGTGAGGTGAAACAATAGTTCCTTCCTGACGGAACTGTTTAAAAATGTATTTTCTGATAGAGCTGCCAAGAAAAGGTGCTTCGTTCTGGGGCTGTAGGATCCTGCTGTCTTTTCCTCTCTTTTTATTATTATTTTTTACATTTTATTATTTTCCAGGAATTAAGGTTGTGTCTTTGTCAAATCCCCAAAAAAGTAAATTTCAAGTTAGACATCGAGATTCATAATTAGCCGAGTTTGACTTGCTCATCTTTCTTAAAAGTGACAGGCTGTTCACTTACTCTTAAATACTGTCTTCAGCAAACAGTGACAGGATCAACTCCCGTTTGTTATCAGGAAAAAGGTGACCTTTACAAAATGATGGCCCTCTGCAAGACTCTCACAGATGTTCAAAAAACTGAATGTTTTTCAGTGGAAATATTTCTTCTTGATCATTTCTCCTGTTAACTGTAGCCCTGTGGTCTTGCAGCTTGGATGCTAATTCTTCGCCGTGCTTAGTCCTGTATGGCTAACCTTTCTGCTGCAGTACAGGGTGTTGACACTGACATGCTGCAGTTTACCATTTGTGATTTATTTAGGATAAATATGTCTCAGGTGGCATTTAATCCTTCATAAAACCAGTGTAGCCTGCAGTGTCAAACCAGCAATCACATTGTATGCACGATGAAAAGAGCAGACCTTTGCATAAAAAAAAACCACCACAGAGGTAGGTGTTCCTGTGCTTGGGAGCCCTGGGAAGGATTCGCTAACCTCCCGTGTGCTGTAATTACCTGGAAGCTCAGGTTAACGAGACTTCTCTCTGAGTGCAGCCTGATCAGGAGAGCCAGTATTTTTCTAGGGCTTTTTTTTTTTTTACCTCCTTCTTTCTAACATGCACTTCCAAGTTAACTTACTAGTGCCCTACAGATGTAACGTTGGAAATCAAGGGTGACATTCACTCCTGAGCCGACAGCCTGCACAGGGACTCGACACGCTCTCAGCCCCGTGCTGGAATGCTCTGCCGTACACCGCAAGGCCAGGCCGCAGCGGATCTCTCCCACGGCTTCAGAAACTCCTCCCTGGCATTTGTCTCCCTCCCGGGCCGGAGCTCCTGACACCGTGCCATATCGTAAACTGGGAGGAGATTAGCTCCATGGATCTGCCAAGCTTTCCGCTGCCCGCTGCCCTGGGGAGCAGGGAAGGAGGCGGAAGAAAGGAGTAGTGCTGGAAAAGGACCAGAGCCCCCAGGACAGCCATGCGTGGTGCTGGCGACTGGCACGGTGCCCATGGCAGGTCAGGGAGCGGCTCGGGGTCTGCGGCAGCCCTTTGCCACAGGCAGCGAAAAAACCGCCACAGCACGGAACTTGGGGGGGGGGCCTGGGAAGGTGTTTAGCTCAGGCAGCCATTCACTCCCAACCGTGTGTTTTGCTGTTTGAAGGCCTTCAGTTGCCTGTCTCCTGGAAAAATCAAGGGCTACGCTGCAGTGGAAGTAGTTGTTGGGAGTACAGTATTCCCGTGTCAGTCTGGCAGGACAAGGGGTAATGGGTTTAAATTGAAAGGGGGGAAGTTTAGATTAGATATCAGGAAGAAATTCTTCATGAAGAGGGTGGTGAGGTACTGGAACAGGTTTCCCGGAGAAGCTGTGGATGCCCCATCCCTGGAAGTGTTCAAGGCCAGGCTGGATGAGGCTTTGAGCAACCTGGTCTAGTGGAGGGTTTCCCTGCCCATGGCAGGGGGGTTGGAACTAGGTGGTCTTTCAGGTCCCTTCCAACCCAAACCATTCTGTGACATGCTGACTGCCAGAGCCATTGGCTTAATTTCCTCTTGGTTATCCATTCTGAATGAGCATTAACAAAGTTGGATCGTACTTTGAACAGTGCAAAACAGGTCAAAATTTAAGAGTTTAGGAAGCATTGAACTAGTATCCAGGGGAGGTAAAAAAAAAAACCCAACCCACCAGCAACAACAACCAGAAGTGAACAACATACTCCTAAATTAAAACAGCCAGAGGAAGAAGAGGTGTTTCTGGTGAGCAGTTTCACCTTCCGTTTCTTAAGAATCAGATAAACACCTCCTGAGGCTGTGTCTCCTGGGCCCTGAATTCAGGATCTGTCTTTGGGGAGAAGTGGGAGATAAGAGATAGCTGGAAACTCTATTTAAAGACATATTTCCTATAACAAAAACAGTGGGGGGGGAGGGAACCCAACGCAGCCCAAAGTGCCCACAGCCAGACACTATTCCGCCTGACTACCAGCTGCGCTCCGCTGTGGAGGCGAGGGAGCCAGCGCCCGTAGCCGATGCGCTAAGGTATGCACGCGCAGGTTGTGCTTAGCGCTGCGAGCGCTGCTGTCATTCAGAAACGCTGCTTTACCACCAGAAATGCTAGCTCTCAGGTCCTGGAAGAAATACATTTGTGATCTTTGTGGACGGTGGGTTCAGCTTGTGTAATCGCTGTAGGAATCTCCGCATGTCGATGTCCTGGCGCCTCGGGCGAGCCCTGAGCTGAACCCGAGCTTCCGATGCAGGCGAGTCCCCTTCAGAAAATCACGGGGATTGAGGGACGGGGCTGCAGCTCTGGGCAGAACCATGCGGAGAGCTGGCGGTGTGGTAGGCGCGTGCCTCCGAAAGCCACTTCGGGGGCTTTTTTCCAACTTTTCCCTGCTCTGTGGACTTCCTGAGCGCAAAAGCTGTAAGCGGAACGAAAAAGAGAGAAGGATAAAGACAAAACCACTCCTGAAATTTGAAACAAAGTTCTGGTGAGAGGATGATGTAACAGCAAAAAGGTCATTCATTTGGCAAAATAAGAGAGAGCTGTGAGTTTTCACTTATTTTACTGTGCAATATTAGCCCATAATTTAAGATAGCACGCGGCTCACTTAAACAGCCTACCCCTGTTCCATCTTGTTGAAGAATACAATTCGTTTTCTGCTCCTCTAGGGTGATATCATTTTATATGAAGAAAAAAGTTAGCTCAGATGGCAGTTATATGTTTCGGAAGCACCTTCTAATCAGGGATTGGTGATTCATTATTAGCTTCAGCAGGCGATCCATCTGACATGTAAGGGGAAAAAATTAGCAGCTGTCACTGCATGATGAGTTAATTTCCTGATAGGCCTGACACTGAAAAGCCATTTGGAGACATGGAGATGGCTGATGAGAAAACCTGGTGCTGGTGTATAATTGGAGAGAAAGAAAGGGCAGAGAGACAGGGGGAGGTGGGGGAGGGACCGAGGCTAATCTACAAGTGGGGATGGATGTTTGTATATTTACAAAACAGACTGCTTCACAATAACCCGCGTTACCGCACGCGTACACCTCGGCGCTTAAGTAATAAGGACCGGGCCCTTTCATTTTCCTTCTGCCACATGTCATTATTTCTAGTCATTTGTAATTAGTACTCTAGACGGTTTTACGCTTACTCCAGCCCGGGTGAGCGGTGTACAAGCACGCGATTGGGTTATCTTGCGGTGACATTGAAACCTGACATTTTAGTGGAAAGGGGAGAAAATGACGCTATCCCTTTAATGGTTCTTGCTGCAATTTTCTTAATTGCAGCT